TTGAATAAATATAATATAAATCATCAAAGGTACATATACAGTGTTTAAATAAGGACATGATGGAACATCGTAGGCTACCCTGTAGCTTTTTAACGAATAAAGTCCTATAAAAGTCATTGTATAATAAAATGCCTCAGATTTCGAACCTGCGACCTCTCGCTGACAAGGCGAGCGTCATAACCACTAGACCACAAAGGCTTCATGGTTAAACAGGTCCAAAGCTTTGTTAAGATTACCAAGTCTTTTGACAAAAATGGCTGTATGCCTATGCAAAGTCATGATGTGCCTAAATATCTTGACCATAGTTAGGCATGTCACAATAATTTTTTTTGTCAAAGAAAAATAAAATAACACGGACAGGGCTTTTTAATACAAGATATGAAAATACACATCACATTTATTTTATTTCCATTTGGAGTTTGCCGTCAGGAAAATATCATTCGAGTGATGTTTTGCCCTACCAGATGTGTTTGACAGCAATATTAATATCGTTAGCAGCAGAGCAGCAGCAACAACAACAGTATAGTTTTATATAGCGCCATATCCATCTAACATAAGATGGTCAGGGCGCTTGATATGTGGATTAGGAATTCGATCAATGATTTTCTTCACCCTTAAGGGTCCCTTCGTGTCTGTGCTACCCTGTAACCCGGTACCAGCAACTCTCGTCGTCCACCACATGGGCGGTCAGGGGTGGCGCCAGCGGAGGGCCGGGGGGGGGGGGGAGGGGTCCCCGTTGGGGAGGGCTGCATCCGGGAGAAAAAGCTCAATTCGTCAGGGAAAAAATAATATATGTAATTTCTACATATTAGTAGACTCTAAAATCGATTAAATAAGCCTTTGAAACCCCTAAATTGTCAAAATTTCCGGGGCTTCGCCCCAGGACCACTTTCGGAGCTTTTTAATAGAAGATCGTCCACTTTGCTTTCGTCGGGGAACCCTCGTCGGGATATCGCCCCCCCCCCCACCGTCGGGCAAACCCTGGCGCCACCCTTGGGGGCGGTCTGTTCCACTGTTCCAATACACCGAGGTATCCCATACTCGTCTCGAATAATGTACCAGTACTGAGTTCTTTATAGTACACATGAGCCATTGTATACACTGGGCCTATGGTTTATAGTCCTTATCCGAGAAGACTTGTTCTACTACCAGAACCATAGGCGAGCGTGCCGTTCGAACCAGCGCCGATATTATGGCTGTAGCTTTCGGCGCCCCTGCTAACCGTTCGGCCATTTGACTCGCCATTATGTGCCTATATATGGTCATAATGTGATGTCATCATCACCATATTTAGGTTTGTCACAAATTTGATAGACATAGACTACTATTAAAAGAGAGAATAGCAAAATAGTGGTAGCCACTGTGTGTATGTGTGCTGAATTGAGGAGAACTATTCTGACACTGACACTAGCTGGTTATATGCTAACTCAAACAAAAGTCCTAATTGTGCACTGTCTTTTGGATGAGGAGTTTAAGCCGTTGGTCCCGAATTCCTACCGTCGCCACCTGCGAATTTCCCACCCGGTCTTTTGCCACCCGGCCTTTTGCTAATCGGCCTTTTGCCACACGGCCTTTTGTCACCCGGCCTTTTGTCATCTGGCCTTTTACCAATCGGCCATTGCCACATAAGTCCGTTGTCACACAGCTTTTTAACCTCAGCTAACATTTTTAGAATAATGTTATAATAAGGTTTGATGTACAAAATGTGTTTATATTTGCAGAATAATAAACACTATGGCTATTATATGCATATAAGTATGTCTATTTTATATGGTACAATAAATATTGATATAGGGCCTTTCTTTAGCCCAAATCTATTTACATGGATTGGGATTCTTGAAGTCAGTGATATTCAATAATAAACTAATAGCAATAACATGCAAATAAAAATATATATTTTCTCTAAGATACAGATAAAATTTATTATCATTTACATCGTGTTTCTATAACAGCTTCTTTCGTGGAAATAAAGAAAATAGATACATTTAAATATAAACATAATTGCTTTATATAATCCATCTCTATCAACATATTTCAACTTCATATATACAAATAATATGGTTTCAACTTTTCAAATATTTTAAAAGTTTTTCAATTGTTATGTTTATATTTTAAATACTACATATTATAATACTGTTCTCTATTTTAATAGGTTATTATTTGTCATTTTACTGTTTTTTTAATGTTATTAAAAATGTAATAAAAAGCTGACTTCATATGATTTTACTCTTCTACTTACTTTTCAATATTTGATAGATTTCAGGGCTGAAAAAATTATAGACGCACCACGTGTCGATTTGTTTACCGTAATATTACTATAGTAAATTCCCCGCGCCTTAGATATTTTTTGGTAAAGTACGGTAGCCAAAAAAAAAAAAAAAAAAAAAACATAATCAAGGTACTGTACGTAAACACATGCGTCTGTGGTACATCACGTGTGGTTGTAGGAGGACAGGAGCGTATTCATGTCCCGTTCTCTGATTGGCAATTTGTTAAGTTCGATTGACACTCCGGAAAAATCCATTACAGCAGATTTTCTCTTAGGCCAATTTTGAGGAAAATAAGAAAAAGGTTCACTACAAGTTTCTCAATTCCATACTATCGCTGGAATTGTAAACAAGGCAAGTATATAATTGGGTCCCTCTTTCTGGCGAGTCTGAAGGGCAGTATTGAGTCACTAATAGGAAAACGCAAATTATGACGTCATAGAGACGTACTAACCTGAAAATTTAACGTTAGAATTGTCACAACTAATGCTGTGTTCTGTCGACTGAAATGTATTGAAATGCTGCACGCAAGGCGAATAGAAAAACGAATGGCAAGGTAGGATTTTGTTTTCTGAACTGAAGTACCGAAAATGTATCGATTGTTTAAATATCATATAAAACGCTTCTTTAGTTAATATATAGGCCTATTGATACATTGTACCTTTTTTGTTGTAAAGAGTGCAAGGATTATAGTAAAATTAAAACAATCTTTAATTTATGTTTATTGTTTTCTAGATTTTATTATTATTATTATTATTATTATTATTATTATTATTATTATTATTATTATTATTATTATTTAAGGAATTTTGTATGAACTGTCTCCCAATTTACGGTACTAGGCCTTTTTTCCCTTATTAAGTATTGGTTTGACATTATATTCAAGTTCAAGTTTAAATGTAGTGTGTTTAACTGTATTTGGTATTGTAAGGTAGGCCTACATTTTTGACTGGTTAGGTAGGCCTACAGAATGGCATTGGGTCTATAGTTTTAGAAGCATTATGTGTTTGCATTTTAAGAACATTTACGATTTTTTCATTAAAACGAATTTCCATAAATACAATGGCTATATTTATAATTAAATTAGTGGCAATGAAAAAAACATGAATAACAATTTAAATAATAATAATAATAATAATAAAAATAACAACAACAATAATAATAATAATAATAATAATAATAATAATAATAATAATAATTATAGTGATTTTATTTGATTAGTTTATAGCTTTTTTGTTGAGTCTGCATTCATGATCATTCATGTCATAAAATTATGATCACATTGGATTGCAAAAGCTGAAGTGATGTATGAAAATGTCAATCATAAAGCTACATTAATCAATGCGTCGCAATACTGATGGAATACTACGTTGATTAGTAAAAATATTACAGGGAATTCTCAAAATTCAACTAAAGCACGAAGCGAATATTTCCTTATAAGATAGTCACAATTTTTTTATTTGAACTTGGAAGTCGGAGAAAGTAAGTTCTAATTAATTTGCTAGTGAGAAAAAAGGAAAAGGAAGAGCAACCGAGACCCAGAAACTCGATGATTCGAAACATCCTCTTCCTACACAAATTAGCCCTGACATCAACAACGAGAAGCCTCTGCGTGATTATCAGATCAATTATGGAAGTTTTATCAGTCCTTCAACTTGTCACGTATAACTTCAAGAATCTTTAAGTTATTATAAAAAATCTGAACGAATAACCTGATTATTTCTAAAGGGATTTACATTTTACGAGAAACAGAATTTGAAGATTAACGGTAATGCATCCACGCAGATTAGAGCACGGTCAATTCTACACCCTATCGTTTTTCTATACTCATTATGATGGCATCCTGGTAGTGATGCACAGTAGGCCTACACGCCGATTGCAAATTAATATCAAATCTTCCTTTTTAGGTCTCTGTCTCTCTAATTAAAGATCATAACTTAAGACTCCATCAATTAAAGACCACATATAATATTAAAAGTCAATTTTCTATGGCTCCAAATAAACGCCTATCTTCTGTCTTATAAAAAATAAAGACAAATTAAAGAAGAAGAAAAAAAAAAAAACACATGGTACCAAAAGTGGTGTTTAATTGGCGGGAGAGACGAGGAAGGCTAATTTGTGTTATTAAGCCGGGCACTCACTGTGTCGTACGACCGTTGCACGACGGGTCTATCTGTGAGCCCTAGATGACGCGACGCCGTCTGATGATATCGGTGGAAGTCTGAACGCAGCGTATCGTCATTAAAAATGATCTGTTGCGCGCGTCTTCGGGTTGCATTCTTCATAGAATCACGTCGGCCGACAACCGTCGGGCTCATTGAGTACCCTGTTTTACGCTTATTAGCAAAAATTATAAAAGTGAACGTTAATGTCAAGGACAGAGGCATTATCTATTTGCCCATTCAGTTCAATTTGAAATTACTGTAAGTTGTTTTATGGCCTGAACCGTAAACGCTGTGTCAAGTTGATTGGAAACTTATTAGGAAACTGTTTGTCATTAAATTATTGTCCTAGACCGAGTGTCTAAGAAAGATACCATACGAAGCTTGGCATTATATTTTTATTTTTTATAAAACTAAATAATGATTACACATAAATTTCTTACCTTACCATTACATTATCCAAATAATATACTATGACATTTTATAATGTTTAAAGGTAATTACTACTAAAATAATCAACTATGAGACCTCTAATATGCTATCCGACTACTACCATACCATACGCGAAGTATGACTTCATCACATAAAGGATTCGTTTAACAAGCTATTTTCGTATGCAAAACAATAATACCAATGTTTTTTTGTTTGTCTTTTTTTAAGTATCGTGTCTATTCAATTTAATGTAATAAATGTTAATACCTTGTTTTAACACTTTATAGATGATTGGCCTCCATCTGATATTAACGGTCTTTGGTTGGTTAGTACTTATTCTCCAGATATCTTCAGTATGGGGTCAGGCTTCAAAATGTGTTCCGATTTACACAGATAAGCCCAACGCAATTTGCTGGTTAGTGTGATTATAATTATTAATAGAATAGATATGCTACAGTTAATGAATCTTGGCTTATTAGTATACTTCTTTACTACTACCACTACTACTGCTACTACTACTGCCGCTGCTACTGCTGCTACTCCTAATGTTACTGCTACTGCTGCTGCTGCTGCTGCTACTACTACTACTACTCCTTTTACTACTACAGAAAATGATGATGATGAATGATGATGACGATGATGATGATAATAATAATAATAATAATAATAAGAATAACATGATAATAATAATAATGATGATAACAATAATGATAATAATTAATTATTATTATTATTATATCGTAGTGTACCACACTGAGTATTTCATAAATTTATGATTAAAGTAGACTTGTACTAATGATTCATGTTATGATAAAGTATGCTTCAAATTCAATCTTAAATTTATTGTATTAAATTTCATTTTCCAAAAAATAATTTAAGGTTTATTGAATAAATTCATCTTGTTCATTTGTTTAGAAAAAGAAAAAAAAACCATTTTAATGATTTATAAATAAGATACAGTACCGTATTAGATATTTGATATTATATTGAATACTATCTTACTGTGCTTAGTCTGTTAAACTGCTTTCTTATAGTTATATTTTTTCAACGATGTTGTATCAACAATATACAACATTCTAAACAATTTGTCTCATATTATCTTTACACAGTATTTTGAGTTAATAATTAGCCTATGTAAATACCTATCATTTTAATATAATTAATCATGTACTAAAGTAAAATTAAAAGTAAACACAACTTTCTACAGTAATTCGTTCGCGTTACTACAGTATGACGTATGTGAAGATCATGCCGGAAATTTCAATTAAGATAAGGAAAATAAAGGAGGCTATTTTGGGTGATTTCTTTCTTATATAGGCAAATTAAGATTTATCAAATTTATTTTCTCCATTTTGATCTCTTAATTGATATAAGCTATTTGTTTTTTTAATTTCAGGGGTGACTTTCCAGCTGACACAGTGCATGATTGTAGTAAGTATGTAAAATAGTAGCAATCATATTTAGTACAAACATTTATAAAAATCAATCAATGAGTTAATAATGTAGAAAAGACCATTAAAATAGACGGGTAATACTAATTATGCTATCTTCTTAAAAGTATGATTTTAATAGATAAGCATATGATATTTATAACTATAATTTTTTTTGCATAAATTGTAATACTCATGATTGTGATAATTGGGATTTAAGCGTCCAAGAAATTAACAATTGAATTAATTGATAATAGGCATATTAACAGAGGCTATAGAATATGTAGACCTACATTAAAACAAACTTAATATAATTAGGTACAGTACAAGTAAATTGATAATCCAATTACAGTATGTATATATGTAGTTAATTCTCTGCTAAAGCGACCTTTCTCGAGTATTTTTCTCTTGTATATTTAATCTTTGATATAATACCAACAGTCCTACTTATGATGTTTGGGAATAACGGTGATATCACAAGTTGATATTACTGAAATAAGTTACTTCTTGTGCAAATTTTTTAGCTTATTAATATTAGAATTTACAAATTTACCGTATTGCGTTTTTAGGCCTACTAGGATTAATGATGTTACACCCAGGTCTAGTTAGACATTTTGAAAATTTTTATTATTTTGTAATTTATCTGTCTATAAACCGCGCACTATGTTTCACTTCTAGGCCACAAATTCTGTTACGATCTAAATGAAGGTACAGACAAATGTGTATCGCCTTGGCGGAAACCGACAATTCACAGGGAACGCGAGTTAGAGCGCATAGCGACCCTGGCAATGAACCAGTTCGTTACTCAGTCATCGTGCACAATGAGGCTAAAGACTAATAGGAATTTGAAGACGAACTTGCATTTCTTTGCGAATGAGACTGAATGCACTGGCTTGGAGGCGTTCACTCTATCTCATGATTCGTGTGCCGTACTGCATCTAAACCGTAAGATCAAAGGCTATTGTATATGGTACCATAATGTTTGCCCAAAGGTTCCAACTGATGTTACAGTATGCAAAAGAGACAAAGGTGAAGGTAAGTCGTGGTAAATGTAAAAATTAAATATATATATATATATATATATATATCACACACCAGATTTTAATGTAAACCACAAATTACGTTTCTTAATATGCTTTAAAAACCTGATTTTCTTTTTTTCCTAAAGTGATACCTACAGACTCTCCAAGACTAGATAGACCAACATCCGATGAACCTCTGAAGAAATCATCACTTAGCATCGAGATTATCATCATCGTAGCAGTATTCGCTAATCTTATCATTCTGATAGTAGTCGTGTTTATTGTGGGTTTCTTATTGAAACGAGTAAGTTCAACAATTTGTATGCACAATTGAATGGCAAACACAAACTATATAAGATATTTCGTCGCTCACATCACGAACTAACACGATCAAAGTAGATTGTGTTAGTTCGTGAAATCACAGTAGCGCGTCAAAACGAGCGCGTATTGGTTGTCAAGCAATTTTGTATTCTTTACCACACAAAAAGTCTTTAACGACAGCAGCGCGTATTTTGACGCGCTTTTTTGGTTTCACGAACTAACACAATTAAATCACAATCGGAATAATTGTACTATAAATATTACTATCCTACAATAATAATGCAATTCGGCTTAAAAATTACACCTCTAATAAAAGGAGTTGCGTAACCGGTCACGTGGCTTTATGGTTAGGTTTGGTTAGAGCTGTTTGAATTATACTTTATCAATTCAGAAGATTGACGTTAGATAAATATAGTGTGGAAAATTATACAAATCTACGAGACTACGAGACGCAATCTTGATTCATTGTCGACAGAGTGTTATTAAATGATTTTAAGTTTTTCTTCTATGTTTTTTAATTTACTAAGAACTGAAAATCAAGGTATATTCAGTAACACTATTGAAACAAACGTTAAAAGCTTTAGAGACCTCTATAAGACTACTTTCAACAAGTTAGAACGAATTCTAAAAGACGATAAATCCACGGAATGAAATACTTCATAATCATGCTTAATTTGACAAACCAACTTGTGTACATTAAAAATAATTTAAACTATTAAAGTAGTGAACAGATTCAAGTATTCTTCCTTTAATGTAAATAATAATACTCGAACCTTATACATAATTTCAGTGATGATTCACTTTCTTGTCTTCTTTCTTCCAATTTAGTCCAGAATGACTAATCGTCGTGATAATTTGACTGGGAACAATTCAAGTAAATCAAGTAAGTTTCCATTTAAATATGTATAATTGAGTTCTGCAAAAACAAAAAATAAATAAATAAATAAGTAAATGAGCGCTTCCGAAAGGTAAATCGTTTTTGAAGTAGTGTGGAAGAGTGAAATATGGTATATAGCACTGCCTACTACTACTACTATTACTATTACTGCTGCACTACCACTACTACTAGGCCTACTACTACTACTACTACTACTACTACTACCACCACCACCACCATCATCATCACCACCACCACCACCTCCACCACCACCGCTACGGCTAGTCTAGCACCACCTCGACCAATACCATCGACTCCACAATTATCACCGACTCCATCATTTCCACCACCACCACCACCACCATCACCACCATACAAGGCTACCCCTGCTGCTGCTACTGCTGCTACCAGGACTACCACTCCCACTACGAATATGAATCATTTGTCCCACTTGTTTATTCGTGTGAAGAAAGAAAAACCCATATTAGCCTTGTAGATATAGGTTATCATTGAAGGATGCCGTAACAATAGGCCTATGATCATAATTATCAATAATAATTCTTTGATCAAATTTAAATTGTTGTTGTAAATGTCTTACATTCAAACATAGAACAGAATAGGTTGAATATAGAAACAATAATTACACCATAGTCATAAAGTATTTTAAGAGTAAACAATATTTGTAACAATTTCAGATCGACCCCTCCCAAGAGTTCCCCACGGCGACCATTCTAAAAATGCTATCCACAGAATTTCGAAAGTTGACAGCGCTGAATTTGATAAATGGAAAGACGAGAGTCACTACATGTACTTAAGCCATGAGTCAGTGGACACTCCAAGATACCATAGTGTAACTGAAAATGATGTACGTAAAGCGGTGGAGTCGAACTGGGATTATTCTTACCCAGACATGGAAAAAGTTAAACGATTTTCATCAAATTCGGAGACAACGCCTGATAAATCCAGTTATATGGTACTTATGAAGGACGGAAAAGCTAAAGCAAATGAAATACATGAACATTCTGAGAAAATAACGAACGAGGTTATCGATAATCCATCACCATGCCATGCTAAATCGGAACAGGTTACTGAGACGCATGCTCATTCTGATGTCGATTGCACAGAGCAACATGACGGGATTCAGTGTATTGAGCCTAAATCATCTGCATTTACGGACAACGACGACGACTACAGTGAGTTGAAAGTGGATTATTATGTCCTTGAGGAAAATGATTCTAAAATTGAAAGTGAAACAGGAGGCCTATTTAATGAGAATGAGTGTACTGTAAATAGTAATGATGGTCACCGACCAAATGAAGAGATTGTCACAGACCCAGAAGAAGCCACCAATCATGACTACTTTCAACTTGAGAGTGACGACATAGAAGAGGTATCGAGAAGAAGTCCAGAAGAAGTAGACGATCAGGACAGTATACACGACGAACAATTGTGCACGGAAGGCGAAATTGTCAGATCTGAACTTTGTCATTCACTACCGAATTCAAACTTATAAAAAATGACGTACAAATACATGAAGGGATGGAGGAAGTATCAGTTGCCATGTGTATCTGACTCTCTTTTTGCATATAGGAGGTTTATGAACACTTATACAACATGGCCAGTCTTGTATGATATCAGCATTCAAATCCTAATTGAAAATGTATAGCCGAAAATGTTTATCGTTTATTAAGAAATTATTCCAACAAACGAAGATTTTATTTAGATAATAGAATACCAAGTACACTCAAAAAGTCTGAGACGCCATATTGAATCAGTAATTATTTGAGTATTAACAGAAATGATGAACAAAGACAATTGGATCATTAGGCTTCCCTTAGTGATATTTTTGAAGTGTGCAAATATTTTTTATTGTCAATGTATTTAATACAAAGATGATTAAGGATGAATATGAAGATAGCAAACTTACGTCATGAAGTCTTTGAAGGCGATCCCTGATTGAATAAAAGCCGATTTCCTATGGTGGCGCTACTCTATAACATTGAACTCAAGCCAACAGATTTTGCCATTCGTTGGATTATCGAGAACAATTGAATTTAACTTTTATTAAAAATACTGGCACGATTTTCGATTAACAAAATGTTTTCTGTACAAACAAATTATTCGTGAAATAATGCAACATACCTTTTTTCTTTATAAATAAAATGTTGTTGATTTATTTAAACGTATTGAGAATTACTTATTACTAATGTCCCGCATTAATGACAGACTGAAGTAAAATGGTTTAAAATACACAAGGTTATGTCGCCTGTGACAACAAATTATACACTCACTTTAACCAACACACTATATCCTACACCTTCACAATAATTATCATGAAGTATAATTTGTCACTAGTTAACCGTTACACATGTTTCTATCGAGACTACCAAGTGGTATTTGAACAAAACATGAAATGCATATATAATGTCATAACCTTGACCATGTATAGGCATATATTGACTATATATGGGCATACAGCATTTTTTTCAAAGAAAGTTTAATATTCTGAGTGAGAAACAACTGAAATAATTGCTACTTTTACTACGACTGTATGCTGTCTGCAGAATTGTCTTTTCTTTTTCGTTATTCTTGCGTATGACTACAGACAACGAGCGAGCCACTTATGACTATGAATCTAGCGGAAATTGTTTGACTACGAACAGTCGCTTTAGTTGTTATTATTTAAGCAATCCAGTAAAACCAAGGTCATATCCCAATGATATTATGGTTGGCAACTATAGTAATTGCATTAAATTAGTGAATAAATTTATTTAAATATAAAGTGCACTATACCTATACATACGCTATATTTACAATGTATATGCATTACAAATGTACAGTAATTATATGAATGCACTCAGTTAAATATATGCATATGTATATACAAACTGTACATACAGTCAATATATATTTTAAATTCATATTATAAAATATATATATATATAATATATGTATATATATACATACATATACATTTATATACACACACATATATGTATATATAGATTTATTATAATTTCTTAATATATATATATATATATATATATATATATATCTACATGATACGTGTCTGTGTGTAATATGTATATGAATTGCGCATTAACATAGATTTAACGGTGAAATAAATATTTGTTAAATATTACAATTTTCATCAAACGAAACCTTAGTAGTTCGATGGCTAAGAGACACCCATTTTTGTTAAACTCACAGATTCCTCCTCTTTAATGTTCAAAATGTATATATGATTATAGATTTACCCCAATATAGTTTTGAGTTAATATCTATTTATAAAATGACTTTATAAG